CCCAGGGTGCACCACGTGGAGGTAAGTCTATTGCGCACCCGTGCAGATATTATGAATAGAGATTTCTATACGAAGGAAGAGAAATAAACCTCTGAATAGATTCTATCATGCTCCTAAGCGCCTAAGAACGTGTTCAGCTACCGGCACACTCCACAATCCGTAAACAAACTTTCTGAGGTATATGAAATGGCAGCCGATTGGTTCTGAAGTGACCGTCTTAGAGTGGTTTGACGATCTTTGAAATCAATTTTTGCAAGTCAGATTGAGACTCGTATTGAGTAACTTCTCGTTCCTCTTTTTAATAAGCATTGGTTACTATTATTACCACCATTACCTACAGTACTACAAAGACATTTTTCCATTTTTAATTGTGGCCATCACTTGAAATCGGTTAATTGAAGAGGTTGTGATAAAAAATGATGAGAGAGCAACGTCACGATATCAAAGTCATACCTTATTCGACTTTTACTCTTTGCGTTAGTACAACATTTAATAAACAGGTAGTTCTAGTTTTCAACTTTTATGAATCGTAAATTCGTTTCTGCGATAATCAATAGTTACTAACCGCCATTACCAACTAGGGTCGCTTTGACGAGATGGCAAGAATTTGTAATTTCACAAAACTATGCTCCCTCAAGGTGGTTGATAAGGGAACAAATATTAATATGCAAAAAGTGATTACCTAAACCATTCTTTCCAAAGCGAACTTTGCATTTCATCCTCCCTACTAAACCTGCTAATGCTTAGCCCTTTCTCTGTTCTGTTCTCTTCTGCTATCTCCCCCTTTTGGTACTTTCGAAAGCTAAAAGTGTGTAGAAATTGAATAAGGAGGGCAACAGATATTCCTATTGAAGACGAATAGGGTCTCATGATAATAAAAGGCTTATTCAACTTTAATCACTTCTGCTTTCAAGGGGTGCGCAATAGACTTACCTCCACGTGGTGCACCCTGGGCAACGTATACTTATACGGCAAAAAAAGTCTATTGATTGCCAGTTGGCTTTTGACTTCAAACTACTGTGGCCCGACTATTTGTCATATTCGACCCCTTCACCTTTTTTATGCCTTTGTGTCTGTCTGTCTCTTTTACACCTGTGTATCACTCTTCTGTTCCCCCTCTCGACTTTTTATCACTTTGATGTTCCTTTTCCTCTCTGTGAAGCCCCGAAGCAGGGCTAATGATAATTATCAAAACGCCTGCCATTTGGTATAAATAAATAAACTTCTGCTTTCAATGGAATCTCAACTACCACTGATTGAAGCGGTATGTATAGAGGCAAAGCTAGGGTAGAAAAGTCGACGCAAGTTGTAGGCCTTTTTAGCAATAGAGGCAGAAAGGCGCGTTGGGCAAAAGTCAGGCCAACAGCGCAAACTCGCGCGCGCTTTTCGCCTCATTTGCCATCGAAGACAGCCCTAACTGGCCGTCCTATGCGCAGCGTCTATGGCTTCTCCCATTCACTTTAAAGGAGATGTGGACAAATAAAGTAGTGAATAAAGCCAGCCCCTGAATGGTAATGGAAGTGAATTTAAAGTGCAACCGCTGGCATGAATGCCAAAAATCGATACGCGAGGTAGTCATTCGAAGTAAAAAATGGTGAGCGCAAGCTGCCCCGACTATTTGAAATCCTTGTGGGATTTTAATAGTTTGTCCAAACGGTCAACCTTATCTTGATTGAAGTGGAGCACGTGGTTCTCTAATTAGTTCAAAATCTTGAAATACGCAGTTCATCACATAAACTTCTTGTGGTACTCCGATGATAATTTAGCATTTATACCTTAAATTTCCCGGTTCACTTTCACCCTGGAGTTCTTATAAACCACTTATTTTCCTGAAAGGATGATGAGTTTGTGACTTTTGTCATGCCTTCAGTCACAACCTTTTACTCATCAATTCGTGAGGCCAAGCTTCAACCAAATACATCTAACGAACAAATAGGAAACGGTGAACATTTATGATTTAATTTGCCAGTGACTCGGATAAATTTGATATTGGAAAGTGAACAGTTTTGTGTTTTATTCATAAATTAGAAATGAATGGTAACTTTCCTAAACGCAGTGGCAAACGCGAATTCGAAAATCGAAGAATCGATGAGAATTCTATTTTCTCCTCAAGGGAGCTCCTTGATCATATTCCTCTACCAAAAGCGAAGACTTCAGAATAAAATCATTGGATCTCACTTAATCATTCTTGGCTGGTGAACAACTAGGAGGGACGAGTCCAGAGAGTCTGGTCATAGAATCTTTACTGTCTTTTACCAATATGAAAATAATGTGTAAATCGAATTAAAAAGATTTTGTGATGAAATCACTCCCTTTCTTATAGGGAAAATAATATTTTATTCCCGCAAATGAATCGACTCTGATTTACTCTACTCGACCTCAAATTATTTAATTATTTCAAGGACAGTTGAAGAGTGTAAGGCATTTTATAGTAAGACATGATGTTTCAGTGCCCAGTGTTCGGAATCAATGCCCAAATTCCTAACTGGGAGAACAGTATGATAAATGTCTGGTAGATAGTGAAACTAAAAGACAGTTAAAAAGTATGTGGTTTGTGTTAACGGGCATGTTTTTGATTAGGCCTCGCGCAATGCTAGCAAAAAAAGTTTATTCCATCAGTACTTATCTTGTGGTTACCTGGAATTGTTAATCGAAAAGCCAAGGGATTAGGAAATGCATAGTTACACGAAACATTGCTTGGAAGCTGCGATTGGGCCAATTACAACAGGAGAGGAGTGAATGCTTAAGTATTAAATATTTATTTATTTCAAATGGCAGGGGTTTTGATAGCTATCATTAGCCATTTAGCTGACCTCAGGCTTCACAGAGGGAAAATTCATCAGAGTAGCAGAAAGTCGAGGGGTGGGGAACAGAAGAGCGATTCACAGATGTAAAAGAGGCAGACAGACACAAAGGTGGAGGTCTGTCTAGACCCCCAGCTTTTATCAATGCTTACAAGAAATTTTTTGCTTTGTCAAATAAAATGAATATAAAATAAAAGTTAAAGCCTCTTGAGAACACCCCCAAAGTGTGAATGACAGTGAAACACACTGATGTATGCGATGGGAGAGTTGATCTTGTGAATTAACAATCACATTAAGCATTTCAGAAGAACTGAAATTACGGTAATACTGCCATAAATAGGGTTATTCTGAGAGTCTAAATCTGAATTGATCTTTGCACCAAATGTGGATATAAGTGTGTTATTACGTGAAAGAAAAACTAGTGACTTTTATTCATGGATAACTTCTTAAAAAAGAGACAGTGGAATCGAATGAATGCACGTGTGAAATATTTATTTATTTATATCAAATGGCAGGCGTTTTGATGGTTATCATTAGCCCTTTAGTTGACTTCAAGCTTCACAGAGGGGAAGGAACATCAAAGTGGAAAAATAGTCAAGATGTAAAAGAGACAGACATAAAAGTAGAAAAATGGTGGGGTGAGTACTGTGAAGTAGTCGAATACGACATACAGTGAGGAGATGGCATTTTGAAGTGAGAAGTCAACTGCCGTCTGTTAGACTTTTTTGCCGTATGAGTATACGTTGCCCAGGGTGCACCACGTGGAGGTAAGTCTATCGCACACCATATGCACGTGTGAAATCGTTAGCCAAAAATACCTCTTGACTCCAGAGTCTTAAAGTCGTTAGTGGTGCTAATTGTTGTCTGTTTAAAAGGATATTTAGAAAGGTGAATAGCTTTCATTCAACCTTGTGACAACAAATAACCGAAACCATTAGAGCAAAGGGTTCTACAAGTTGGTTGATTTTCTGCGTATTTATGATGGTCAGCTTGTCAGATGGTGGACATTGAGAAACCAAGCCATCAATTTCTCCCTTTCTCACACCTTTTCGTTGTATTGGCGTTCTAGTGAGAGTGGGGTAGATCTGCTAGAAGTGTTTGGCATCCAAATCTCACTATCTGCCTATTAGTATAACCGGTGTGTCTGTAGCGCAGTGGTTAAAGTGGACGCCTTTACAATCAGAAGTCACGAGATTAATGCCCACCATGTATTGTACAGCACTATTGGTGGCCAGCACACAGTTAACTGCAGTAAACAAGACAGATGGTAGAATAACTTTCTCGTTAGTGGTTCCAGGACACCTTCATTACCCAAGTGCTGAAGTACGTCCCTCAAAGGGTAGAGAAAATAAAAAGAAAGAAATCCCATAAACACAAGCCATACTTTGAGGAACCAACAAAGTGATCATACCTTAAAGTTCGTTTGCTCTAAAACCTAACAACTCATTTTTAATGATATTTAGAGCGTCGAGAACGATTAAATATAGAACTGGTAATAGCAATCAATGGAACCCCGACCTCCTGTGACTAAAACACTACTGATTTATACTAACTTGCAACCATTACAATGGACAACACCGTTTAAAGTAACTTCAAATCGTAGGACTCATACTTAACAAAAATAACATCTGAAATTATTACTCTACATCAATCGGGTTCTTTGCAATAAAAGTACAAAAAGGAGCAAATGAATATACAAAAAAATCCACGTTTTATTAATATTTAAATGCTATACAATAACACACAGGGAGTAATATTGAACATAATTTTGACATCAACCACCAGTATAAAATGATTTTAAAACGAAGGATTCATATTCATCTAATCAGAGCTGTCACCACTCTTCTTAGCGTTATACTTCTCCATTGCCTTTTGGTACTTGGCCTTTTCTTGAGTGGCTTGAGACTCGTACTTAGACCTATTTTTGCATTGCTCCCATCTTGAAGCAAGCTCCTTTGCACACTGTCCGACAGACCAGTCAGGATGAGCTTCACGAACTTTTGCCCGCTCATCTTGACAGAAAAGGAAGAAAGCAGACATTGGCTTCTTAGGAGCGTTAGGATCCTTCTTTTTTTTCTTCTTGTCCTCACCTACCGGAGGTTTATAATTTTTCATATCCTTCTGATAGCGTTCTTTATCTTTTGCTGCTAAATCTTCAAACTTTTTCTTTTCTTTTGCTGATAGAGTCTGGAAAAATAGTTTTACAATTTGAATAAATCACCTACTTTCCACGTTGCAGAGCATTCTTTAGAAAATGTCGCAAAATCTACTGAAGAATTGGGATTTTTCTTCTTGTGTTCGTCGCGCATAGATTGGACGAAAACGGCATATGGAGTAAGAGCGCGTTTGGGCTTTGACTTGTCTTTAACCATCCTGTATTTTGATTGACCCAAATGACAAATGGACATAGGGATTTCGATTTGTCGTATAGGTATAAACAATCAAAAATAAGATTAAACGTCGAAATCAATATATATAATGATTAAAATATAAAAATTATTATTTTAAAAATTATTAAAAGGTTATTGACTTTATCTTAACGTTTGCAATATGCTGAAAATAATAGATCGAGTTAGTTAAATTGATCTTATGCTGAACAATATATCACATTCACCAAATTGACGTATTTTTCATTTTTATGCTTATCAAAAATCGATGTGGAATGTTAGAAAGATAACTCTTGTAGTTTAAATTAATTATTAATATTGGTTACAAGAGATAATATAACTAATTCTTTGTTATATATACTTTAGACAAAGAGTCAGAAATTAATCTTAAATTAAGATCTTATGTCCTATTATTAAGTGCTTACGAAATAACAGTACTTTTGGTGAAATTCCGAAGTGAGCACTAACTGTGAATTTTCCTTTGAAAGTCCCATAACCTACATATAACCAGATAACCATAATAAATAAGCTCACGGTTTGGATTTGTGTTTATAAAAATATTTGAGAATAGAGTCTTACACAAAATGAAATTTATTGAGTGTCATTTGAACATATATGATGATTTTATGCAATTGGGAATTTTATTAATTAATATACCAAGCATTTTTTTGACATAACACCATATTGTGATCCTTTATTTACGAATTTTATAACTTACAGAAATCGGGAAAAATTGCAAGGTATTCAAAACTGAAAAAAGTATGCAGCCAATTTTCAGTATAATAGAGTCACAAGTAATAATGTGCAAATATAAAAACAATGCTAATATATCTTTAAAATAATATCCAAGTATTATGAAAAGTGGATTTTTTAAGTAAATCGATGTAGCTTGATTAATGTTTTATTTGTTATGGTATATTAAAAAAACAGAACATGCCACCTTATTTCGGATAATATAACCAGGATGAAATCACTACCATCTCTTTCATCTCGGATTTTTCATATTATTGGCTATTAGTCTATTGCATTTGAGTAAGTGGACTGTTTATTAGGAAACATTGAACTATCTATGTCTGGGGTAAAAGTTGACGGTAATAAGCAACCTCACATATTGTAGTTCCTAATGATAAATAAATTGGCCAGATAATAATAAAGCGACTACATTTCTAAATATGGTTTATGGAATGAAGCGAATCAGATTTTGCTTGTTAAGCAGTACTTGCAGCAAATCGGTGAGTGAAAATCTTTCATAAAATTGCATCCTGTCATAAAAGTGAAATTTTGGTTCTTTACCCATTTCGTCCCCAAATGCAATTTGCAGAACCAGAACAAAATGAAGATAAGATAAGTTGAATAAACAGCATTTTAATGCGTGTCTTTATTCCTATTTCTAAAACTATCCATTTCATTATCAACAACAATAGCTTCAAAATGAAATATTAATGAAATGTAAAACTTCACACGTTGAGCAACTCTTCAGCAAAACTTCCCAACATTTTTATACTTTAATATTTACTGATATGATTATCACAAACTAACTAAGAACTTGGCTCATGATAATTCTAGTGCATATAAAATGGGGAACATTCGACGATTTTCTTGATTGGTTAAATAGCATACCGAGATTTTTCGATAGTCTGCCCTGGGCCAGGAATTAATAAGAGAAAGTAACATTTATAGTTGGGACTCTTATTTTATTACTAGTCTTTTCCGGCCCAAGTTTGCATAAGAATACATGCATATTAACTAGATAGATCGTTAAGTGGTAAAGGATTGGATATACGAAAGTTGAAATTTAATATGTTTAATCGCAGCAACTTGTTCTTGAAAAATCAGTTATCAACTGAGTAATCGAATGTCCTTTGCACATCGCACTATTCATCTATTAATTACTGAGTAATATAGTTAGGTAACAAATTTGGAATGAAATGAGACTGAAATAGTTAAGGACGTGAACCGACAAGAGGCAGTAAATTTTACAGATTCTTTTACATATCTTTTAGTTTAAATGTAAGTTTAGTGTAAAATAAACTATTTTGACCTATTTGTTTCAATATAATATTGCAAATGAGTAGAAAGTTTTGGCCATCGAAATATTTCCTAATAACAACATTCAAGAAATAAAAATAATAGCTAGTTAAAATTAAAATTAACCAAATACAAATCCTACAATGCATTAATGTGCATTTTTGAGACACAAAAGGTTTAAATAAGGGCATTTTACGTATAATCGGCACACATGCGAAACAAAGCGTACAATCTAAGTTTTGTGCATAGTGTATATTTGACGGAAGGCACATACACAAACTACACAATATCGCCCTCAATTTAATGAGTTATCCGCACATTTTGATCGAGATATGTATGCCAATCGCGATATCACTAAGGCAATTTACTTCTAGATTAGTACAAAATTGAATATAATTCAAAGTATTAATATGAATACCTACCTGATGCAAAATTGGTTCTTTGCTGTTAAACTGAAGATAAGGGATAATACCATAAATGGTAATTTCTTAATTGTGAAAAAGATCAATCGCGTCAATTACTTGTCTAAATCATAATTTTTAAATAAATTGTAAAACTCGTGCGTAGAATCAATTTGTAAAATTTGTATTTATTGAAATAAGAAATAAAATGTTTCAAAATAGCAAATTAATTGTTATATATCAATTTTCTTGTGCTTTGTTTTTAATATTTGGCTTGCCCAATAGCGCCCATTTGGATGTATTCTGGAGATAAGCTGAAGGTTTTTATTTTTTTCTATATCGATTAGTGTGTTCATTAGGAATTTATTCGCACATGCAAGAGAAAAGCTCTTGAAGCCTTACTTAATGCCGCTGAACTTCCTACAGAAGGATTAAAAGGCGATCTTGTCACTAGACTGGAAGCATACATTGACGTTGGCCCTTCTAAAGAGTTTTTAGCGCACGTTAATTTAATAATGCAGTCAACAATGCCTCGATATGGTGTTCATACAGGTAAAAGCATACTTAGGAATTTCTCAAGCTTGTGTTTCTTATCCTTCTCACTTAGGCGTGCCTATTCCTGACATTGGTTCGAGTGCACAGCCCAGTGTGACCAGCGGTAATCCACAGGCCGTTTTAAGACCTCATCCAGGTGTCCGATTTCCGCAATATCGAGAGACTGCTCATCAACAATTTCCTAAAGTGGCACATATGGCACCCCCTATCATTCCTCCCCAATTGAATAATTGGAATATTCAACCCAGTGATCTTTCAAGGTCTTACAATCGCCAGGGAACTGGAAGTGTATCATTACCAACCAGTGAGTAAAATATTTTTACAATTTTTTTCGAGCAGGTATTTGATTAAAAAAATTCATTGCTTTTAACTAGCCGATGGAGTCGTTCGAGTCCCATTTTTCCCAGATTTAAGATTCTCCGATACTCCCTTTTATGAAATTCTTGATGTTATTCAACGACCTACTCTTATTGTTCCTCCTGATGTCAATTTTCATACTGGCAAGAGGCCGTACGAACGCACTTATGATTTCAAACTGGATTCAAATCAATCGGAAACTATCGCTTATCACAGGTATTTAAATTTTTTGTTATGCATTTATATCTTACAATTTTGTGGCTGTTAACTGTATTTTGTTTCATTTTTAAAGTTGTAATGTGGGTAATCGTCGAGAGTTTCGAGTTCAAGCGTTGGTGCGGTTTGGAAAACTGGAACCTTCCATGCTTCATCGAATTACGGCATCCCAACCATCACTGGAACCATTTCAGGATAATATGCCAATTCATCTCGCGGTTCAGGTGAATCAAAGGAATGTAATTCTTCCGCCTTTCCTTCCTACCTCACGACCAAATATGGATGGTCGGCGAAACGCCAGACCAATTAGTATCACTTCTCAGGTTTTGTTTTGTTTTAATTTTTTTGGTCGTTATTGTTGCCCTTACATATTATCTAAATATATTCCATTTTCCTGTTGCAGTTACGAATGTGCCCGGGGGCAGTTAATTTAATTAAGCTTTCGTGGTCTCATGATTACGCCTCGTTTACTTACTATTTTTTCGCAATATATCTCGTTAAAAAGCTTTCAACCAAAAATTTATGCGATTTCCTCAAAATGAATTGCTATCGCCCAGCAAATTTTATACGAGTAAGTGTCCGTTGAAGAAGTAGTACCCCTCTACCCCGACACCCATCTTGAGTGTCAATGTTTTCGTTGTTTTAGAAACAAATAATAGCAAAACTAGCGTCTAGTGGATTATCACTTAATGATGGCGAAGAGGAAGATGATGATATTCAGATTCAAAATACTCTTCCAGTCCAATTGCTGTGCCCTCTATCCAAATGTCGTATAAATCTTCCCGTTAGAGGGAAGCGTTGTCAGCATATTCAGTGCTATGATGCCGATACCTACTTCATAATCAACGAGCGTAAACCTGCCTGGAAGTGTCCTGTGTGTGATCTATTGGCTCCTTTTGATGAACTGTTTGTTGATGGGTGAGTTTATTCTGTCCTATATACCCGGTCAAAATAGAATTTGTTATTTCTGCTTAATCTCGAGTATTTACTCTGCGATTAGTTGCTCATTCTATCGCTAAGTTACTGGTTTGCTTTTTAATTCGATACAGACCGAGAAGTTCTTTATGGTCGGGCACTCTTCATTAGTCTGGTGTAAATGACTAAAATCGTTACCCTTTTGAATTTGCATTGGCCTGAGTTAAGTTCTAGCCTCTAGTGATGCTGTAGAGGGCATGTACGGAATGCCAGTTTGTTCATTTTGGCAGTATTGATAAGCCTTAGTTAGGCGTATATACTCGCTTACCACTATGCCTTTAAGGCTAGTATTTTATATTTGCCCTACGTACAATTTATTAAACGGAGATTGATTTCGCCCTTTGACGACTTAGTTCATTTAGATTTCGTGCCCGAACACAGCAAAGAAAATTTGATGGTTGCATTTGTTGTTTGTTCAACATATTTATCGTTGTTATCGCAGGCTTCTGATGGAAATACTCGATTCGAAGGAGTCGCAAACTGCGGAAGAAATCGTATTTAACGAGGATGGCTCTTGGGTTGTAATGAAGTCGTCTGATTGCGGTGGTGCTAACGGTAACGTTGAAAGTTCACGTGGCTCATCGCCCCTCTCTACTTCAAATGGCGATGGACAGTCAGCAAACAAGTCATCCTCTGTTAGTAATCCCGTAAGTGTCCCTATTCTAATAACAAAAGTAGTATTGATTGCTTCTAAACCGAAAAAATGTTTTAAGCTAGCTAATTCACGTTTATCATCGTATGTACTTAGAAGGTTGCTGATGGCAAGTAGTTATCGTGTTAAGTCACATGATTCAATGCCATAGTGCAATTGTTTTGCGCGCGTGGAAAATTTCAATCTTGTATTTCTTTTTTATTACCTTAGAGTACTGCTGCTTGTGCCAGTGTCGGCGGATCCACTGATGTGTTGATAGATTTAACGGCCTCTGACGATGACGATGGGGGAGGTCCACAGCCTCCTAAACGTCCAGCGATTGGAGAACAGTCATTGAGTTGTAGTGCGCCTTCACGACAACACTCTTCCTCTTCAACGTACCGGGTGTCTCATCCTCCTCTCTCTGCCCCTTCTCAACATGAAAGTCTTTCAAATCAATTTCTACCACAACACAGGCAATGTCGACCTGGTAAGTGCAATTTCATCTTGGTTTGTTTTTGGTTCTGTGCTCTTTTATTTCTTACTTTTTCGCCACTTGAGATAATTACTTTCTGGCTCTACTTATTTGTGATGCATGTATGAATGAATATTGCTGGGCAAGTTCGAGACCCAAGTCTAATCGCATTTCTGCCAAATTAAGTTCATACATTATGAGAAAATAAACGATTTAACAAATATTTGGTTTTAAGGGGGTTTAGAAAAGCATCCTTTTAAATTTACTCTTAATGTGATGTTTTAACATATCTTCGCAAGCTTCTATATTATGAGTATCTTTCACTATTTTTGCAGAAAATAAGTTATTTAGTTGGTCAACTTGATAACAATTTCGTTTGGTTATAGAAAGTTAGGAGTGGGCAAGCCTCAAGTATCGTTTTCTCACATTTATCCCCTTTCTATTCTTTCGAAAGGTTCCCTGTTCGCTACTTCTACTCTAATTTGGTTTTGTCATATCTTGCATTTTTGTATTGTAGACCACCAGAAGTGATGATTCATTTTCAAAATTCCGCACATACGCTTACATGTTGAATATCAAGAATTGAATCACTTTTTATCTCTGAACACTTTCACCCTTACCGTATTCAGACCCCTATTCCCTAAACCTGTATATGTGCTTTTGTATTCCAAGCGTCTTCACAGTAAAGGGTATAATGCAAATCTGAGATGAGCGTTGAGTTTTAATTTTGGTGGTTATATTTATTTTGATATGGATACGGTTAGGTCAGTACTTTAGACATGTACTTTACTCTCCTAGACAGGTTAATAATAAAAGTAGCTTCTTTAGAAATACGGGTGTCATGTATGTCGATTTACTCAGTGTAGTCTTGTGAAGATAACCCTTTCTTCTTTTTAGTTCCTTGTGTAGGTAACTCGATGCTATGTGCACATTCAAACTCGGTTCCATCAACATCAGCAATGTCAAATCCTGCCCTGTTAGTGGACGCCAAACCCGATACTCGTCGTGTGTTTTTGTCCTCACTTGCTCCTCCTATCCCCTCATCTAGACCCTGCTCACATTCTGCCACTCCGAGTCCACGAACGCCTCAGTCCTTGGGCCATGCTTCATCCACTGTCGCAAAATCGTCACTGCCTATTTCCCAGACGGTTTCCTCTTCCTCCAATCACCATAACATCCCCATCCCTCTAAATCTTAATACAAAGGAACTTATGGCCAAAATGGCTACTGCTGCTTCCTTTTCTCCCCGGATTCTTGAGGATTACATGAGACTCGTAAGTGGTTCTATTGTGTTAGGTTGTAAAGATTGTATTGGGCTGCTTAAAGAAAGTTTTACTTTCTCTGTAGCCTGAGTACAATCAATTTTCAGTCAATTCTGTCCCCCAGCCTCCACCAAAGGCAGCACATCAGAACAACGGTAATAGCAATAACAACAATATCTCCCAGGGTCGTTTTGCCAATTTCATACCCCCCTTTCCGGCACATTCAAATCTCCCATTGCAAAATACACATCAGTGGAGAACGCAAGGGCCTTCCACTCTTTCAACTGCTCCCAGTAATACAGTAATTGTGAGTAATTCCTCTACAGCCAATCCTTCTTTCCTATTTCCAAATGTGGGCTCTGGTGGAGTAGGGGGTCGTGTTCCTCAAACATGTTCATCCTCATCCTCGCCCACTTTCCTCGACTTTTGGTCCTCGGCAGCGGCTCATATGACCTCTGCACATCCCATGATGCGTCAATCCTTAGGAGACTTCTATCGATCCACTCTACCCCCATCACCTCCTCATGCCCACTCGAGCAACTCCACGCCTCCTCCTCCTCCAAAAGGTGACCCTCGACACATCGAAAGTGGTGGTGGTCTATATTCAAGTCCCTCCGACTGGTCTACAAATCAGCAGTAGCAATCACTAGAGGAACCCTATTCCCCTCCCCTCTCTCACCTCAATGTACAAATTCTGTCCATTCACTCGCGTTCTGGTGTTACTGCGATTAATGCTGTCTAACTTGTCTCTTTATTTTATTCAATATTTCCCACTTATAAATACTCCCCTCTCCTCTATTTCTCTTGTTACAAGATGTTTTACTGGTATGTTTGTGAATATATACACTGCACAATCTGTATTACGCGCTCTTATGCTTTTGAATGGAGGAGGGACTTTCTTCTGATCCGGTGGCTTGGGTTCTGCGCCACGCATAAATTTGCATAATCGTGAATTACATAAATGTTATGTGGGAGTGGTCTATTCCTTTGACCTATCCATGATGCCCCTGGTTAGTATGAGATGCGACCTGTCTGGAGTAAAGCGAGTATCCAGTTGTTTCTTCTAATCGAAGAACTTGCCAAAATACTATCTGGACATGAATATCAAGTGGTACATACATAGAGGATCACTGATTAGCCCTTGAATTTGCTACTTGTTTCTACTTTCATCCTGATTCCTTTTATAGCCAGACTGATGGTTTCCAAAGGTAGAGGCCATATCCATGCCCATTTGCGTCCATTGTGTGCCTTGTAAATCAGGATAGGACAAAGAGAATTAGGCAGAGCTGTTGAGAAACTTAAATTAGACTGCGGCTTCGCAATCAGTGTTCTTGAGGTTGCAGCTTTCATGCGATACCGGGTTCTCAAACTATGCTGTATTTTTGATCATTGATTGGGTTCGTTACATTCTCCATAGTGTATTTCATGAATGGAGAAAAGCATGGAATTGCCATGGTTTGGTTGTAGATTTGTTTTAACTTTTATCAAGATGGACCTTGTTTATCTTTAATTTCAAGCATTTAGTGCTGTAACTAGAGGGGAAGCGAAGCGATAAAGTTTTAACTGATTCAATGTCTTAAATATTTGCCTATGCCTCCTCAAATCTATATGGGAGGAGTGCAAATACCCCCTCGTTAACTTCACCAAATTTCATATACTTGTTTTCTTTAAGGCTGGACCATGAAGTTACATCAGATCTCCGTTCACGATAGAAATGAACTGCCCGTATACCCTGAAGATGTCAGAAACAAAGTGGCGCAAATGGAAATTGAAGCTCTTCATATTTACCATTCTCTTCATCTCGTGCACCACTTTATCGATTATCGGATTCCCACATTGCCTCCTGGATATGTGAGACCACCTGTGAAAGCAATCGTTCGCTAACGGGGGCTCCACGGACACGATTGTCTGAGCTCGTTGGAAAAAGTATTTTGGTGTGTTTATTCTTTGTATGGAACTGGTCACTTTTCCTACTTACAAATATTACAAAATCTCTACCAATTCGAATGAACTTCCCGACATATATTCGATCTCGAGTGTTCGGTTTTCTCAACAAAATCCATGTCAAAGGAGATCGAAGCTCAATCCAAAACACTTCATTGTTGGGCTGGATGGGTTGGTAAGGGTCAAAATGCATTTAGTTCAAGGATAATGACTAATTCTGGAGTGCATTTGAAGGTAAAAGGAACTTTAATATTAGTTATTAGGAAACTTGTTTAAGCGTATGATGAAATGCGAGCTCCGTTGTGAAGTGACTAATTTTTATAACGGCTCAGTCCACAAGCTTAATGATACTTGAGTGTTATATTGACCTCTATGCTTTTTTAAAGATAATAGAGGGGTGTTTTAATGCACGAAAGCCCTTAATCTGATCCACCATCCCAATTTGAGTGACGGAAAATTCGAGAGGGGGGGGGGATAGAAGAGTGCTTCAAGGATGTAAAAGAGGCGTCTATGTCAGTTAAGGATTTCATGAAATTCTGACGAATAACAAGGGTTGATCTGTTTTTTTTTCCACCTACGGAGCTTGAATGCTTTGTTATAACACGGGCTGGGCTGGCAAGCCCTCTGGGAATGGCTCTACGTCAATGCTCACGTCCTTGTTACCAATTCACGGACATCCAGTAAGTGAATGACAAAGGCATAGCTGTGTGGCAGATTTTCAGTAAAAGTTGCTAAAGATACGCGTTAGTGTATATTAACACAATAAGCCATTGAAATGGTATTAGCAACTCTGTTTTAGTTCCGAGGAAAGGAAATGGTCAGTGTAAGTGGATATTTACGCATTTACATGAGCTAAATTGTTTCATATTACAATTCCACAGGGTCTAATCATTGAGATTTGGATTCCGTCTCCAACTTATCAAGTTATACATTAGATCAACTGATAGTGAATGAGAATTTTGTAACGCCTCGATTTGTAATTCGATCATTGGAGGATTTGGAGATCATACACTTTATTGGCAAAGATATAGCGGTCACCGTCGATGTCCTTGTACGAATTATGTTCTTTCTGTTAACCAGTTATGCATTATTTGGGATATATTTGTCACAAAATATATTTTACACCAATTATCCATAGTTTGTAAGTATCTGTCATATTTAATTCATTTAATCACTTTTATTGCGTATCCAAAGTTTCTGCAAACTTAATATTATTTATATCAAATGGCAGGCTTTATGATAGTTGTCATTAGCCCTTTAGTTGACTTCAGGCTTCACGGATGAAGGGGAACATCAAATCGAAAAAAGTCCAAGGGGTGGGGG